ATCAAGAACTTCCTCTTCCTATCTTTTTATAATTAAATACTTAGACCATACTAAGAGTCTAGGATAGGATTTTTAATGACCCAAACTCCTTATGAATTTAGGAATCATAATCCAATTGGGGATCCCAAAACAGCTCATGCCTTTACAAATTTACACCTATTTTGTTTCCAAAGAATGTTATTCCACACAACCAGGTATAGTAGACCCATCTGGAAAGCAGATTTCTTAAATGAGCTTCCCCAACATTTTGGGACCAGCCCCTTTCAGAAGCCAGAAGACTATATTTCAAAATCATATTCCAAAGAGTAGTCTGTTGACCAGAAGCAACAGCACCAATTTAAGAGCTTATTAGAAATGCAAAATCTCACCCCAGACATACTGTTTTGTAAGTCTGCTGTATTATTTGAGAATTATTAAGAATGTTAAATTCTGTTATAAAGGTTGAGAAATTTATAAGAAGTGATAATATTTGATTATCTCAAGTTATTAGCTTATGAAGGAGGCAACATTCAGAGGCTCAATTAAGTATACATAATGAGAGCCTGTAAGAGAAAGGCAAAATTCATCCCATGTGTTAAAAATAAGTAAGTTAGTAACCTGTAAGACATTCCAAAATAGAAAATATAATGGAACAAACAAGAAGTTTACTTGTAGATAGAAAGGGATGGAAAGATCAAGTTATTATCATGCCATCTCTGGACTGACAGCTATGTCTTCTGTATTTCAGCCACCCACCGAGGACACTCAGTATGGTCCTATTCTGGACCCAAAGATACTCTATCCAAGAAATGCAAATAAAACCCATGGCTCAGTGGCAACCAAACTGACAAAGCTACAGCTGTATCTAAGTGTACTTGTCCCCACTCTCTTCGATACAGCAAGTATGTATCATTAGCCCAGGGCATCACTAGTCTGTGGAGAGCTTGCTCAAATACCAGCTGTAGTCCTCATAACCACACCATCCCTGGGGAAGGCTGATGTGAAAGAAGGGCTGGATACATGAATACTGCGTACCCAGGCCTCAGGTAGTATGGTCCTTCCAAACTTGTTTGCACTGGGTTTTAACTTTCTTCTTCCTTCCCGCTATGTGTTTTAGACTGATGCGATAAATCGTGTGATTCAAGCATTTTAATTTGGTTGATGAGCCTGTCTATTCCAAAACCTCTGAAATAGCTGGTAGAGTACTTAGAGGCTGACCAAGGTAATTGCCCATGAAAACACCTCCTGAATCAGAAATCCACATTTAAAAGATCCCCAGGTGATTCATATGCACATCAAGTTTAAGAAGCACTGAGCAAAGACTTAGAAAGCTCCACAAAGACAGAAATTTGGATCTCAGAAGTATGCTCTGAAGACCATCCTGAATAAAAGGCTTCCTGTATCCCCTTACAACGTAGAGCCCCAAATGAGGGAGAAAATACTAAGAGAACCATTTTCGACAACTGTCATGTAAGGTTTAGAGAAACACTACTGCCCTTGGCGATTCTCCTTTGAATCCTATTCTGGAAAGCTCTACACAGTTTGAGGAAACACTCAGAAAAGTATAGCACAATACACCTCAACATTAACCCTGTAATCTCCTTCTTGCTGGGAAGGAGGAAAATACCCTCCTTCAGATAGGCTATCTTTCATGAACACCAATCCAAAGGACATAAGGCTACCAGAAACAGAGAAAGGGTTATGACTTCCTTAATAAAGCTGCAGTGACCTTGGAACAATCACCCAAGAACAGAATTGAGCAGAAGAGCCTAAGAAGCATTCCTAATGGGCTCTATATACACTTTTCACCTACCAGCAGTTTCTGACTTGATCGGCATCAGTCGTTACATGTACTTATTACATTTGCATTGTTCCTTATAATAAGGGCTCAATAAATTTTCTGAATTAACAGGAAAAATAATGAAAAATGTCATCCTTTCTATCCTTGATTTAGACAAACTTAATGAACTCAATCCCTTGGTTTTCAGAAACTCTTGAGTGTGAAGGCATTACTCCACATCTCAAATTAGTATAGGTCATAACCCTCCTTCATCCCATATCTCAAGGTTGGATTTATATTTCTTATTATTAACCCCATTCTAGTTTTCCAGGACACTATGAAACATTCATCTATCCATTAAGAAACAATCCGACCATTTCTAAAAGTCAGACAACAATAATGTATAAGTAATATGCTACACAGGAAAGATCAGCTATTATTTTGATGTTTTTCTAAGTCCAGATTTAAGACCAGATTTAAGAGCAAGAGAAATGTCTATTTAAAATATCTACAGAAGAACTGACATAGAAACTGAGGACATCATCCCAGACACAAGATCGTAAACGAGATCAAAACAAAAGGCTAAAGGTGTTGAGAATATTTATCCTAGTGAAGAAAAGGATGAATATATAAAAAGTATGTAAAAGTTCTAAAGATCATTTCTGTAAGGAATATGCGCCCTACTGCTTCTGCAAGAGGGAGTGTGTTTAAAAAGATTTCAGTTGGAAATCATAATTCACATTCCATAAATAAAGTTTTATAAAAAGAATAAAGAAACACATATGGAAGGGTTGAGTGTATTCCCTTCCGAATGATCTACTGGCTCCTGTTCACTCCATGCATCTAGTACAGCCAAGGGCAGTTAACCTATTCATAGGACATTAGACATTTCAGCACAAGTTTTCACACTGTGTTACATGGGTTTTAAATACCATGTGTTTAAGAACTGACTCTACAAGCTCACACAGGAAAGAGGTAACCTTATAAATTTTTGTCTCCCGCAGCTAACAGCATGAGAACAGACACATGATAAGCCTTCAATGAATACTTACTGAATTTAGTAAAGTATTATGACTCTCTGAGGCAAAAATCTTAACTGGAGATTAAGCACTATGATCACCACCACCACCCAGTAGAAAAGTAGCTCTCAAAATTTCCAAGTGAATCCACTTACACTTAAACAATGGGAACAACAAGAAAGTAATTGTCTTATTCATTACAAAAGGCAAAGAATGAATCTTCTGTTTGCAAACTTAATCCACTCCAACTAGTACTATTAACTGCCCACTAAAATGTCTCGGGGCGTTATCTCTCTTTTCACAATCTTTTGCTTGATCTATGTTCTTGATGAAATGTGATAAACTAAAATGTATGTAATCAATGTCATTCTTTGTTATATGAAATACACAGCATTTTTAGTACATGAACATTAAACAGCAAAACACTAATTGTTATAAGCAATAGTAGAAAAAAATAACTTGAATTTCAAAATATCACACCCAAAAATCTGGTCTGATCACATATGAACAGCCATATTTCAATGATAAATCCTTTAAAATTCATTAAAACTATTAACTGTGGAGTTATATTTTGGGTGGCACAGGACCCAAATAAAAGCTCGTACCCCACTTGGCTAAGTGGGTAGCATCCTACTTGATAAATTTTCATAAGCTGCCATCCTCCATTAGAAAGTCAGTCACTGGCTTTAACAAACTCCTTGAAGACTTCATTTCAGTTATTCTTGCCTTGCTTGATGTGAAACAATTTAATCTAACTGCGTTCTTCCTAAGGGGAAGAAAGATGATATTCAAAGGGGAGGACTTGCAAAGGGGACATGAAGGATCAAATTTAGGAGCTTACTAAAGAGAGAGCCTGGAATTGCGGGGCAGGGGAGAGAATAACAAAGAAAGGTGCAAAGAAACAGCTTACTCAGAAACTAGAGTCACATCTCTAGTTATTTTAAACACAGTTGAACTTGATATGGCCCATTCTGATTCAGAACTTTTGCCTTCCACTAATGAAATGAAAGTTTGCCGGCTAACACCTATAAAAAATTTCATAGGTAATTACTTTATTTCAAAATAGTATTTTATCATTAAAGCAAGGTCAGATTTCTCTTTGCTATGTAAACTACATCTTCTACAGCCTTATATGGGAGTGTCATAAGATGGAAATGACAATAGACAGTGATCTTAGATTCTGAGAAAATTTTAAGATACTATATCAAATTCCAAATAGATCTATATATATATATTATATACACAATGTGTAAGCTACACAATTCTGCCACTGTGACCCTCCAGGTTCCCCTAAGAGAGCACACCAGAATCTTAGGACAGAGCTGGTGGGCAAGTGCACTTTGAAAAAGCACTCCAGGAGATTCTGATACTCGACCAATCACCTCCTACCCCTACTGCCATTACCAGCTAATAATGTTTCACCACCCGCTGCTGATGTATTTTGTGCTATTCTTCTACACCAAATGTTAACTAAGTGAAGTCGTTAGAACAGAGCATCTGAATTCAGTTGGCATTTATCCAGACTCTAAGAGGTAAAAATAAATCCATGAATGGCAAATCAATTTAACTTCCTTTTGGAAAATTTCATTTTAAAGCTACAGATCAAATTCTGAACTCAAAGCTACTTACAGTTATAGCTTTCCAATTAAGGTATTTAAGTCCACTAATATATTTCCATAAATCAAACTTTCCCTATCAAGTAACAGTACAAAAAAAAAAGTTCCAACATTCCTCACAATCCACTTACACAGAAGTGATAACTCAAGATTTTTTCAGCAAGGAAATAAAGAGTATTATTTCAAGGTTACCATAACTCTCCCATTGTACATTATACCTTATATCCTAGTGTTTAGATTCAGAAAATGTTATTATTTTGGATAGTCTTAGGTAAAACAAGTTAAAGAAGTCATTCTATTTTGAACTAACACTTCTGGTTTTCAGTGTTCATATCATTCACTCTACTCCATTGGAATGTATCTCACAATCCCCAAACTTCTTCAACTTTACTATTACTCAATACAGGTTTATGCAACTATAAAGCACATTAGAAAATATGGTGTATATCTCTCAAACTCCAAACTTGTAAAATCACCTGATAACATGTATATATCAATGACTTTGAATTGCTTACAGTTGTCAAAATCTACTCTGCATACAGTTAGGCCCAATTACTAAGGAAACTTAGAGAAAACTTCAAAAATAAACTGAGAAAACATACTTACCTTAATAGGAGCACTACTAAACTTAATTTTCCTATTTACTGGGATATCTTCTTCTTCTGGCAATCCAACAATTTCCGAGTATTCCATGTCAGGTTGATAGTAACTGTTTTCATCACTATCTTCCTGCTCATCCTGTTCAGTGCCTGTCTCTCCCCAGTCTGAATTATACCTGGATCTCACCCGATATACATTATAGTCACTGTGCATGTAAACATGGGAACTCTCAAAATTATTTGAATCTTCGGGTACTTCCCTCCCACAACTGGATCCAGAAGCATCAGGAGAGGTAAAATCACCACCTGCAAGTTCTTTCTTCTGTTGCATTGCTGCCTCATTCCCAACCAAATTAGCTTTGGCATCTTCTAAAGGTTCATTTCGTGGTGAAAGGATGTCAGACTCTGGCATTGCCTTATCCTCAGCACAAGGTTCTTCAAGAATGTCTTTGTCGATTCTGTCAGGAATCTCTTGGTTAGATGTGGAGTCCTCGGCTTCCTTGCTCTGCTGTATCTCTTCACTAGGCATCAAAGCTAGAGAGGTACTTTTCGAAGCCACTTCTGGTACTGGAGTTGTAATACTCTTCTGAGCATCCTCTGAATCATCACTGTGTTTGCTTGGAGGAGACCAAGAATTAGAATCCTTAAGGTGACCAAAGGTGTCAAGATTTGTAACAGTTACAGATGGTAAATTCAGGGGATAATGCCCAGTCACTGAGTATTCGTTGCTTTCAGCCTTTTCAGAAAGGATGGCACTGGGGGAATCAGTGTTCTCAAATACTGCACTCAGTTGACTCACAGTTGGGGAGACAGCCTCTGTCCGGGAGCTAAGGCTATCCAAAGAATCAGTACTGCCTCTGTTGGACTTCGAACCACCCCATTCATCCTGAGGTTCGCTCCCTCCAGCTCTCTCTTTCTTTGGGGAATAACGGTTGTTTTGTCCTGATTCATGCACACTTCTCTCAAACAACTTCCGAGTTTCTGTGAACTTAGAATATGAAGGGCCATCGTACATTGTATCAAATCTGCTTATTCTTTCTGAAACAGAGGACTCCAACTTCACAACTGAGCCATCTGTTTTCTCCAGAAATTCTTTGGGCTTCATTCTTCTCTGAGGAGATGAAGGTCTACCTTTCCCCCTTGTTTTGGCAATGACTGCAGCATTCTCATTGGGTTCCATACCCATTTGCATAAACAGATTTTTAATTCTGTTGACATTGGAGCCATATTTCCTCCCCCTGCTCTGCTGGGAGCCCTCACCTTCTTTTGTTTTTTGTTCCCCATCTGACTTGGGTTTGTCAAAGGTACTTTTCAGTGCCTGAAACTCAGTTCTATATGCATTCCTGTGAGGAGAGGCACTTCTGAGAGTGGTCCGTTCACCAGAAGACTCGGTTTTCAACATTTTTACTTCAGGGTGAAAAGCCAATGTTCATAATGATGAGGAAAAAAACAACAAAAAACAAACAAACAAAAAAATACCTCTCTTCTCTAATCACCAGTATTTGGTCAAGAAAAAGTATCTCTCAAATGGCATACTGTGTCAGTGATCCTCCCAACAGGTGTATTAGGAAATTATTCGGTCAAGAGTTACACAAAATGGCTTTTTCAAAGCAAGACTAGAGGTTCATCTGTAATAGAAAAGAATGAATTTCTGAATTCATTTACTTATTTGAATTTAGATTTAGTCAACTAACACACACTTTTCTTTTCAAAGTGGCTCCAAACAGTGGAAATTACTTACTGAAAGGGGAATTTAAAAGCCAAGAATTTAACAGTTATAACTCTGGTCTTTGGTAACACAAATGTTTCAAACACAATTTGGAGATCTCACCAAAATTACACTTACACACATACGAGTTACACAATAAGTACACTTGAAAGCAATACTTGAGACCAAGTTTTGGTTGCTTTTCTGAATGACCTTAAAAGAAATCAGCAGTTCATACAACTTTAAGATATCATCAAACTGTCCAGAAAAAAAATGAACTTCATTTGGGACTCTCTACATCGGGTAGAACTCATTCTTTCTGTATAAGTGCAATTAAAAGTTTGGAATCTATGTTTACAAACTCCAAAACAAGCCTATAGAGGTTTATTTCCCTCTTTCTGGTCCAATACTCTCATTTACAGCATCCCCAAAGCAACACTAGTGCAATTTCCGACCAAGCCAAGCCAAAAAAAAGTTCCTAAATGGCAGTAAGTTTCACTCCAAGTCCAGTTATATCAAATATTTATAAGTTTACTAAGGGTAGATATTATTAATTGTAGCGTGGGATACAGAATATCAAGGGAATAAATTCATGAGACTGACGATCAGAAAGCAAATGACCGTGAAACTTCTTATCACAGCCCTGATTTTTTTATTCCTACTTGCCTCTAACTTAATACAAACTCAAAATGCAATGCCAATGCTGGCTTGCTGTTCTCCTCCAGCCCACGGTTGGAGTTTATATCAATAGGCCAGCAATCAAATACGTCAAGATCTTCTGAGGAGCAACGTACTTTTTAAAGATTTTTTTGTTTTGTTTTGGTTTTGGTTTTCCTTTTTAATATTAGGCCGAGCCACATCACCCTTAAGCACAATCAGCTGAGGAAGCACACACTTTCTTTCACTTAAATCGTCTCCGAACTCGGATCCTGGCCCAGCACGCATGCATGGCCCATGCAAACAAGAAAGGCTTTAGAGTGTGGTGCCTGGTTTTTTGTAAAGCATCGACAATCTCCTTCTACCCTGACATTTGCTTAAGCCTTACACACCCTACCCTCCCCCTTCCCCCCACTCCCTCCCCCGCCAATTCGAACCCGCGGGGGCGGGGGCGGGGGAGATGGGGCCGCCGGGGATTCAAAACCTGCCCTCACAAAAGACAAACATAAATAACACCAACTTGAGAGGCGGCCGATTCCCAAGCCTGGTTCGGGACGCAATCCCTCGGCCCCGGGGCAGGGCCGGGAGAGCAGGTGACGCCAAGCGCTACGGTAGGAGGTCGCAGTCAAGCTTTGTGCCAAGAAGCACCTGAAGTCCTAACACATTGGCTGCGGCTCCCGGCGGCTGCCAGGCGGATCCCAGTGTGGCATGGGGAGAACCGAGCTCCCTGGCCACATTGTGGACAGCTACAGGGTAAAAAAGCAAAAAAAAAAAAAAATTACAGGGCAATGATCATAAATCCCTTTGTTTTTCCTCCCAATGTGCCAGGAAACAATAGATCTCACTGATAATGCCTCCGATCCTCAACCTATCGCTCCTAACCACAACCCACCCCCACCCCCAGCCTGCAACTGAGCCTTTGTACATCCCGATTTTTTCCCTCTCCATCTCCACCCTCCCCAACTCCTCGCCCCGCACACAGCCTCCCCCTTACCCGAGCGGGAGCCGCCAGCGGCGGGAGGGGCGGGCGGCCGCGGCTCCCTCCCCCTCCTCCCAGG